CTCCAATGTAACCTCCCCAGAATGAAGTCTGTCACTGGCTCCATGACTTACAGTCTTCTAACAGCATTTTTACAGGTTGCCTATGGCAACACAAAGTGCCATAAGACAGTTCTCTCTCAGACTGCTGTGTGTCCCATGATTCCTGCCCTCTACAGACTGCTGCTGACAACGCAGTACTGCCGACCTGATAGCTGGCATACGCCAAAAAAAAACACTCAGCTAACTTGCACAACACAGACACATTATGTATTTTGAGCCTGTAAATGATTGGATTACACTTGAAAATTTGTGTGTTTTAACACAAAAAGGAGAGTGGATTTGCATAACTGTGACAGCTACGTATTTCTGTTTTGCATCACACAGGATATGCTCACTTAGCATTATGCAGGCTGCTACATCTGTAGAATCTCATAGCATCTTAGTCATGGATTGATGCTGAAACAACTCTCCACATCTGAAATATCTGTCTTTATCTCAATACTCTTTGAACTGTTCAGTTTGCTTGCTTAATTGGCTCTCATGTATTTCACAATAGCATTACATCAAAGCCTCCAGCAGAGGGAGCCTGTATATAACAAGTTTAGCTCTCACAAACACACTCATGAAGCTATTGAGTTTATTTTATGTGCATTCTTAAAAATGGGCTCTTTTTTCCCCCCAAAGAATATAAATGTTTTCTCCCCCTCCATGTGCATATAAAAATTAAAAATAATAAATAAAACTAAAATAACATTATTAGGCCTCATTATTAAATGAGAAACTTCAACTTAAAAAACTTAGGTAGGTAAATGAAATACAATAAGTTTGGGATGAAGTGTTAAAATGACAAAAAATAAAAATTGAAATAAAAATATTAATTGAATTTAAACAGAAGTATACAAAATTACACAAATTAAACATTTTATAAAATTACTCAATTTAAAATGAAAATAGAATAAAAGCTAATTATAAATAATATAATACAATTATAAAAACAATAAAATTATAACTCATAAATAATTTATAAAAACTTAAATATTAAATACTAGAATAGTAATGAAATAATTACATTTACAAATTCTAATTTTAAATACAATTATACATTATATTTACAATCACAAACAATTATTCTTAAACAGGAAATGATTGTTAAAGAGTTAGTTAGAAAAGTCTTGTGAATACACTCCACACAAAATGTAGTGTATTCAGCTTTGTCTGATGAAATATATGAAAATTGTAATAATTATTGCTGGAAAACTATATATCCAATGAAGCATCCTACAAAGCCCCTAAAGGGACATGGTGATAAGATAAAATTGAGATTTGAGGAAAAATTATATTTTAATGCTTTTGTGTTTTCTTGCAAAATCAGCTTTCCTGAGAGTGTAATGCAGGAGAACTTTTTTAACATATTAAATAAAGTTTTTTTTCTCACAAAATGTTCTGGCGTCTCATAAAGTCCAGTGCAATATAGCTTCAAGAAGATATTCTCCAGTGGAGACGTGTGTGAGGATCTTTCATGCTTTCAGTGCACTATGAACTTGGATGTTCCCACTGACTCTACTTGACAGATTTCTTCACAAGATGAGAGAGTCCGGATGGACTTTTATCCTCCAGAGGACAAAGGCTAATGCCAAGCTTTGTGTGAGTATGTTTGTGTCTCAGAGCCCTACTAAAGCTTTGATCAGCCAGAACAGAGGATACCCTTGAGGATAACAGACTGTATGTTCTGTGAAAAGCTTTTTCTTTCTGACATTCTTTGCCATTTTGCATACATCATCTACTCTTTTTACTGAGTGGGAGAGCAACATTTCAAAGTCTGATATGGTACAATTACAAAGTCTGGATCATCAAAGTCTGTCCTAATTTGCTGTATTGGGTTGGCATATATTTTCAGAAATGCCATCTGTTGTTTTTATTTAATTATTTTCACGGTGTACTAAACAATTAGCTGTGTTTGCTACTAGCATCATATTGCTCATAATTAGCATTAAAAGAATAGTTCACCCAAAAATGAAAATGTGCTGAAAATGTACTCACCCTCAGGCCATCCGAGATGTAGATGAGTTTGTTTATTCATCATAAAAGATTTGGAGAGATTTAGCATTACATCACTTGCTTACCAGTGGATCCTCTGCAGTGAATGGGTGCCGTCAGAATTAGAGTTCAAACAGCTGATTAAAACATCACAATAATCCACAAGTAATCCACAAGACAATTAACGTCTTGTGAAGCAAAAAGCTGTGTGTTTATAAGAAACAAATCCATTATTAAACCTTTTTTAACTTCAAACCGTTGCTTCCAGCTAAAGATCCATAATATTGCTTTCTCCAGTGAAAAAGTTGCCTCGTCTGAATCAGGAGAGAAATATGCACAGATCAAACACCATGTCAAGTCAAGTCAAGTCAAGTTTATTTGTACAGCGCTTTTCACGATACAAATCATTGCAAAGCAACTTTACAGCAAATTAAGTTTCTACAATATTTAGTGGTAGCTTATCAGTGGTGACTGTCAATTAATGTACATATGGCAGAAATGTACGGAAAAATCAATTTAAGACGTAATAAAAAAGACGATGAACACTATTAACAGCAATTATAAAATAATTAAATGTGCAAAATAGCAAAATGTGGTAGTTCTGTATCTTGTTTCAGGGTTGGCATCATCTGAGGTCCTCTGAGGGGTTGGCATCATCTCTTCTCAGGTGTTCTAGATCCAGACTGAAGCTTGTGTAAAGATCTAAACCATCTTAAAGCCTGCCCTTGAACCACCATGTGTCGGTGGTTTTAATGTGAGAGGACAACTGGGGATGGACTTTGCCACTGGAGGAAACGCCATTGTGGATTATGGATTTTGGCCAAAAGATTTAAAGTTAAAATGCCTTAATGACGGATTGTTTCGTACAAACACAGCTTTTTGCTTTACAAGACGTTAATTTATGGACTGAGTTGTGTGGATTACTTGTGGATTATTGTGATGTTTTTATCAGCTGCATTTATATTTTCTTAAGAAAAATAATGTTTTTTTCTACGCTCAAAATGAATATTTGCTTCTGTCTGTGGGGGTGTGAGAAAATGCCCAGTCAGATGACCACAGCATCAGCTGACCGCTGCAGAACAATGACATCAACTTCTAGACAGACATGTGATATTTGGCTAGGCCACAATTTCTGGCACATTTTTTTCATTTTCAGCAATGGAAATAACCTGCTGTTACAACTTCAAACTGAAAACTAACTAAAATAAATAAATATAAGTCAATAAAAATTTAACCCAGCATTTTTTAGAGTGTACAGTTTTATATTATTTTATATTTGAAAAATATATTTATGTATTTATTTATTTTAATATTTATTTCAACACTTGTCCTCCTAGCACCTAGTATCCACCTGGGGTTCCCCTAGATCCCCGTTTGAAAACCACTGGCCCCAATTTCACTCTAATTTTGACAAAATGTGTCACTCCATCTTGTTTTTGAACAGCACTGTGGGTGTGTTATGTCACACATATACGCTCTAATGCATATCTCGTGTCATACGTGACTGCTCAGATCAAACCACCTCACACTCATCCTAGTGCCTTTCCTGCAGAGACAAGCACACACATGCACAAATGCACACACACAAAGGGCCCCTGAAAATAATCCTGAAAATAATCACTGTGGAGAACCTTATAAAGCGAGAAAAGCACACACACATACGAGAGCGCACATAGAGCTGTTGTTCAGGCTGGGGTCCTGAGAGCCGGGTTCAGAGCAGCCAGTGTCCCGTCTGGCAGGAAGCACTCTGCATTCTCAGCGACGTGCCTTGAGTGGACAAATCATGCTGATTGTGTGGGAGAGAAACCCAGCGCTGCTTCCAAAATGAAGGCAGAGAGGGAGGCATCATGCAAAGAGACAGCCGTTCCTTCACTGTTTCTTCTCCTGATTACTTGTGGATTATTGTGATGTTTTTATCAGCTGCATTTATATTTTCTTAAGAAAAATAATGTTTTTTTCTACGCTCAAAATGAATATTTGCTTCTGTCTGTGGGGGTGTGAGAAAATGCCCAGTCAGATGACCACAGCATCAGCTGACCGCTGCAGAACAATGACATCAACTTCTAGACAGACATGTGATATTTGGCTAGGCCACAATTTCTGGCACATTTTTTTCATTTTCAGCAATGGAAATAACCTGCTGTTACAACTTCAAACTGAAAACTAACTAAAATAAATAAATATAAGTCAATAAAATTAATTATTGTTCAAATATATCTTGTAATAAAATAATAAATAAATTAATGCTAAAGAATGAATATTGGAATATAATATAACATTTTATTATAAAAAAAATAAATTTGAAAGTGGCCATCTACAGTATAACCATCGTGAAGTGACTCTATAGGAATTATTTGAAACAAAGTCATCCAGCTCTTGTGTACAAAGGCCTTTTCGCTGAAGACTGATGCCTTAGCAACCTGTAGGTCCTCTTTTCATTCATTATGGCCTGGTGGGGCAAAGATATACGGGGCTTACAATGTGCTCATGTGGGAGGGCCTGGTTAATGGGTGGTGGAGTAGAAAAAGCAGTTGTCCTTGAGTGGTTGTATAGTAGCTTCAAAAAGATCTCCTTTCATTCAAATTGTATGCTACATACTTCAAGTGTCAGAATCAGTCCTACTTGAACCCTTCGACTGATTTGCCTGATTGACTTAATGGCTGCTACTAAATAAATGTTTATGCTACATTATTTTTCAGAATTTTCACAATCTGATCATAGCTGAGGCAAACTGTCACATGATGGTTACACTGTATACTGTATATATAATATACGCTCTAATGCATATCTCGTGTCATACGTGACTGCTCAGATCAAACCACCTCACACTCATCCTAGTGCCTTTCCTGCAGAGACAAGCACACACATGCACAAATGCACACACACAAAGGGCCCCTGAAAATAATCACTGTGGAGAACCTTATAAAGCGAGCAAAGCACACACACATACGAGATCGCACATAGAGCTGTTGTTCAGGCTGGGGTCCTGAGAGCCGGGTTCAGAGCAGCCAGTGTCCCGTCTGGCAGGAAGCACTCTGCATTCTCAGCGACGTGCCTTGAGTGGACAAATCATGCTGATTGTGTGGGAGAGAAACCCAGCGCTGCTTCCAAAATGAAGGCAGAGAGGGAGGCATCATGCAAAGAGACAGCCGTTCCTTCACTGTTTCTTCTCCTATGGCTTTTCATCTTTTCTTTGGCAGGTAAGACGACATCATGACTTTTCTACAGTGCATGTTGAGGGAAAACTTTCTAAAGAAGAGGAAGAAAAAGTGTACGCCGTTGTCAGTTTCACTTTTCAGTGTGTGTTTTGTTTGTGGGTGGCTGGATGACACATTTCACAAATGGAGCGATCAGTCAAGTGAATTAATTAGGGCACTTGATGAAACTGAACATTTGAAATGCTTTTAAATGTGTTTTGTTTTATTAGAAATACTGTCTTTTTAGTATGAATGTAATAGTAAGGAAGTTTAAATGCAAATGGTATTGTTTATATGACAACAAACCTTAAAAAATGCACATTGCAAAATGTATTTTATTTATTTTTTTAAATAAATAATCACACCACAGACAAGTTTTTTTGCATTTTGGCAAAAAAAACATTCATGCTCTCTTTCGTCTCCATCCATGCATTACATTTATTTTAAAGGCCGCATTTGTGCAAAAAAATCTGAACAACAATTTCAGAACAATCACTACGGCATGAGTGAGCTGGCATGAGCTTGATGACATCACATTTTCTTAAAATCAGGTATAGATGTGCCAAGGACATGTCCTAACTAATGCCTAGTCTTCCTCAGAGACCTTAGATTAGCAGAATCACTGGGCCCCACTGTCTACATCTCCCCATCCACAAAAGAGCATGTCTCTTGCACAGCTGCCCCTGATTGGAGGAGAGCGAGCCTACAATCCATCCCTTTGTTAGCTCATCCTGGCAAGACCTCAACAGTGAGAATTGTTGCCACAGCGATTGAGCCATGCCACGTTGACTCGCACTGCCCTGGCAAAGCAGGCAAGGACATGTTGGTTCACTCAGGAGTAATAAACACAAAGCTGTTTACCAGCAGGTGTCTCGCTGGAGAGTTCAGGCAATGTGTATTTATGGTTCAAACTGCAAAAATTGGCTGAAAATAAGAAATAATCAGTTTAGTAATCTAATCATTTCTTTCTATATATATATAAATTTATTTATAATACATTATAATATTTAATAATTTATGTTAGATAATGAAACACCAGCATCTTACAGTCAAGGGTCTCACTTTTTACTATAATTATATCTATCATCCAACCATCCATCCATCTAGTAAAAAGATAACATTGAGGTAAGCTGATAGTGTTTTATTTAATTTAAATTCATTATTTTAATTCATAGAGTTCTTATTTGATGTTTTAAACATCTTAATTGCAGACTGAATCTTCTTGAAAATAACACTTTGAATTTAGTTGGAAAAGTGCCTTTTGAGTACATTTTACTTTGAAATACTGTATAGTAAATCTGTATAGTTTTAAGCATGTTATTAATAAAGCTTGCTTAAATCAAATTTATATGTATTCATTTGTCAGAAATGTTTGTCCAAAGCCACTTACAGTACATTCAAGGTATTTTGGCAGGATGTAGGGTAAACTGGGGCAAGATGTCACACTTTTTACTCCATCCAGTGAATATTGATTTGTACAGTATCATGAAAAGCTATACAAATAAACTTGAATTGAAAAATTGAACTGAATATTGTTTTAGGGTTTACTATATCTTTTTTTCCCTTACTGCTCAGGTTCATTTAACACATATTGACCTTTTGTGACAACATGCCCCAACTGCTGGAGTGCCACTTTAATGTGTCTGTTTGTGAATGTATTTTCTGTATGTATTTAGGTGTATGTGGGGTGAACATCAGCTGTCCGTCTCCTCTAGTGCGAGGTACACTAGGAGGCTCAGCCCTTCTCTCTGTGTCCTACACCAGCACCAGTTCTGACAAGCCTGTTATTAAGTGGCAGCTGAAGCGGGACAAACCTGTCACTGTGGTCCAGTCCATTGGTACAGACATCATTGGGAACCTAAGACCTGAGTACCGCGGCAGAATCCTCCTGTACGAGAACGGCTCCCTGCTCCTGCATCACCTGCAGCTGTCAGACGAGGGCACCTATGAGGTGGAGATCTCCATCACTGATGATACCTTCACTGGGGAGCGATACGTCAACCTCACCGTGGATGGTAAGACAGACATAGACACTTCATTTATGTCATGAGCAACTTTCCTTAGCCATGCTATCTGGTTCTATCACAGTTCCAGTGTCCAGGCCTTTTGTCCACATTGCGGCCTCATCCGTCCTAGAGCTGACTGAGCTCTTCATACTCAACTGCACTCACGACAGTGGCACCAAACCTACCTATAGCTGGCTGAAGGGCGGGAAATCTTTAACCAATGACTCGCGTCTGCTCCTGTCACATGACCAAAAGGTCCTTACCATCTCCCATGTTGTGATGTCAGATGACGACGTCTACAGCTGTAGGGTGGAGAACCCCATCAGCAGTATGAAGAGCCTGCCTGTCAAACTCACTGTTTACGGTAGGTGTTGTTGAGACTCCACAGTCATCTTCATCAGTGAACTATGACCTGAAATGTTACATAAAATCTTGCTGTTTCATAATAGATAAGAACGCAAACAAATTGGAAAGCAAAAATAACTAGATTACATTCATGCATGTTTATCCAAAGTAACTTACATTGCATCCATTCAGTGTACACATTTACATTTTATCAGTTATTGCTTTCCCCGGGAATCAAACCCATGACCTTGGCATTGCTAAAGCCATGTACTGTTTGAGCTACAGGAAAGCCTTGATACCATATTTACCCCTATATGGGCATATTAGTAACATAAAGGTATACAGTGGGTACGGAAAGTATTCAGACCCCCTTAAATTTTTCACTCTTTGTTATACCTAAATGGTACATTTTAGTGCCTTGCGAAAGGGTACTGCCCCATTGATAGCTTTTCTACCTTTTTTTCTGACAGTATATTTAGAAAATAACATAAATAAATAGAGGCATTTGAGTGTAGAATGGTATAAAATAATGTGAATATTGTACATTACATTTTGAATACAAATTATACTTCAAAAACATATATCCCAGGCTTTAAGCATTTCAAGGGATATTCACACCCAAAAAGTAGAAGTAAATTATATCATTATTTAATCATCTTCATGTTGTTTCAGAAATTTCTGTGCAACATAAAGGAAATATTTTATGTAGCTATTTTTCATTGAACAATAGTTCATTAAAAAAACACACACACACACACAGTAAAAGTGTCCATATGAATTGTGTACTATTCCAAGTCTTCTTTCCAAAGCAGTGTTGTTGTTGTTGTTGTTAACTAAAACTATTAGAAATTAATAAAGCTGAAATAAAATAAAGTATAACTAAAAACCTAAACTTATAAATGTTGCCTTGCAACTAACTTACATATTAAAAAAATGCACTGAAGTACAAAAATTGCTTAAAATAAAACCAAAAATTTAAATAAAAAATACAAATTAATATAAAAATGTATTAAATCTTCATAGAAATATTGAAAACAAAAAGCACATAACAAAATTGCTCAAATGTAAACTAAAATTCAAATGAAAACTGAAAAAGATAAAAAATAAAAGAACAATTAAAACATAAATAAATACTACAGTAGTAGAAGTCACACTGGCCACTTTTATCGTGTTTTTGAAGTCTGACAGTTACAGTCACCATGAAAAAGAGCTGCAGATTCTTCAAAAGACTGAAGAAAAAAAATAGCATATGGCTTTGGAACAACATGAGTGTGAGTAAAGAATGAAAAAATTTTCATTTGGATGGTTGGAGTGTTTATGAAAACGGCTGATGAAGGTGATGTTTACGAACAAGTGTTTGGCTCCACTGGAGCTCAGCTGATCCTCTCATCCATCTTCTACTTCTTCATTTGCACACATTTCTGTCAGAATACTGAGCCCAGCAGGGTCCTGCATTCCCTCTGCACAGTCTACCCTTTAAAAAAAGCCTTAAGTTGCCCCATTCATTCTTGCACTTATATTCCTGGCAACCTGTGCAACCATTTAAGGTCTCCTTAATTTAGACCTTGTCTACAGAGTAGTTTGGTCTTTCAGAGCAGTTTGTTTTGTGGAGAGGAATGATGTACTATGTCACCCTGTATTCTTCTTTTACATTTTGCAGGACGGAGTTCTCTCTACATCATCCTCTCCATGGGAGGCATTTTCTTACTCATCACCTTGGTGACTGTGTGCGCCTGTTGGAAACCCTCCAAAAAGTACCAGCTCTATTGTCCTTATCCATTCTGTTTGATAGGTCTAAAAAGCGAGCCACAATAAATCTCGCCAGCTTGCACTGTTCTTGTAAGAAAAGTCTTTGTGCTTCAAATGTTAGGAGGTCAAAGTTCCACAGATCAGATGAAAAACAAAGACCAAACCAACAGATTAAACTGGAAAGAAGTCATCTTTTACACATTTAGGCTTCTGTTTGTACACCAAATGAATATGATACTGCATTTGATATTTCAATCACAGTCAGGTATGCTGCTAACCAAAAATACATCATTGTTCTCTCTACAGAAAAAGGCAAGAGCTTGCCGGACAGAGCAGACAAAATGTAGCAGAGCAGAGCAACGGCAATCATGAGGGTAACGGCAATCATGTTGTTCCTTCTTGTAGAATCACTCAAGATAAATCTCTATGTTCTCTTAAACCAAAAACATTTTAAAGATGCACCCTCATTAATATATATATATATATAGTTAGTTCCCAAGGCAAAATGTCAAATTTTTGTTTTTTAGGTTTATTTTATTTTTCATCTAATGTATATATTTTATTTCATTTTATTGCAGCTTTTTTTTCAATTACCAATTTTATTGTTGTTGCCTAAAACAGTTTTATTTTGCATGGAGTGGGTCGCATCACGGAGGCCGCCATTTTGAGATCACATGACCAACAGGACACTACTCTTTATCCATGTAACCTCCGTTATTGGACATCTTAGTTTGCAGAATAAATTAATCAAGACTGACTGTAAATATATGATTTCTACAATGGCATTAGTTAATTTGCTTTTGCCTTTATGCATCCACTAGGTGTTAGTATAAGTCCAAGGCTACTTCATATCAACCAATGCAACATTAAAAATTAATGAGTGCACATTTTTATTTTTGCCTTTTTTTACATCCCTGTATAATACAGTGATTTTTTTATGCTTTTATTAATTATTGAATAATTTGCTTTTAAATCTTGAATATTCTCTTTACTGTAGTTGATATATTGCCTGCTAGAAATTACCAGAACCGTCGGAACCCAGGTGGACTATATGTCCTCAAAAAAACGGTAAGAAATTATTATTATTATTATTATTATATTATTATTATTATTATTATTATTATATTGTATTATTATTATTATTATTTCCAGGATTTCCCTGAGGGAACAGATGAGTCTTCCTGTAATTATATCAACCCTATTGATCCCCTCAGCCCCTCTTGTTATCCAAACATGTCTTCACCTTCTGCACACTCTCCAGATGCTTATATGCATTCAGGAAGAAGATACCCCCCTACCCCCATCCCCTCTCCTCCATCAACCCCTCATCCTACTCTCATTCCACCCCTCTCCTGTCCACCACACGTGAGCAGCTTAACACGCAAACCCCACCCACCAAGACTAAGCCCCTCCCCTCCACATGCAGAACAACTTCTGATTGAACCCGAAAACAATATGCACCACCACAGCCTCCCGCGATGAGCAAGAGAGTTTGGATGTAAAATGTCCAGGATAATGTCAGATTTTGAGACTATGTATGGGAGTATGGAAATTGTAATTAGTTATTTTATATTAGTTATCTTATGTAAATAGTATGAGTTGAGTGTTTTATGCTTTCCAAAAGCTATAGGTGAATGAATGGTGTACAAGACCAAAACTTGTAGTTGAAAAGTAAGAATCTAATTTACCAGAGGAGTACATGGATGTACTGGATGGTTTAATTGTTATTGTATACTAACAATTTTTTGTTTGTTTGTTTTTTTTTTGTCCGATTTAACCAATATGATACTGTTAATTTCATCTATATTGAGCATTATTGGGATCTGTTAGGATTTCCTGTAAACAGTGTTACTTTACGTCAGTATTAAAATGATTTTATTATTTTTGCTCAAATAATATGACTTGCTTTCTAAATATTTAAAAAGACATAAAGACACAAGCCTCTGTGTACACAATTGACAACTTACACCTTTTAACCACCAGAGGCTCCCACATCACTATCGATCAATAAATCATCTGCCACATTTCAAAGCTGGACCTCAAATAGCAAAACAGTAGTGTTAACGGCTCTTCAGCTTCTCTCCTTCCCTTTTTCTGTAGAATACTAGAAATGTGTTTAATTGAGTCACTTCAACTTGATTTACCGAGTAAATAAATTATAGCATTTCCCCCTCATTATAGAAGGGTTTATCCGAAGGTTTTGTTAGCCAAATACTTAAAAGAGCATGTTAGTTAAACGCTGATGCCGACATCAGATAAATGGCGTTCTACATGAGTAAAGCTTATTCATCTCGTCCTATCAATCACAACACAAGAGCATAAGCGGCCAAAACTTTACAACACCCCAAGTGAACTACAGCTTGATTTTTTAATATCTTTTTAAGTAGCCCATGGGGGAACATGGAGTATGAAAGTCAGACAGCAAGACCGATGTGTTGTTTACCTTCAACTTGTCATGTTCAACTTAACTGTCCAGCATTAGATGAACAGGCGAACTTGTGAATTTGGATTGGTAGACCTATAGTTTTCATGTAAGCTGCAGACTAAGATCTATATTTAGAAAACAATTAGATTAGCAATTAAGTTTTTTTATTCATACATTTTTTTCTTTATTGTTTTTACATGTTTTATGGGGGTGAAAGGCTATAAAAGTGAAACTGTCGATTATAAACAAAATATTAGGCTACAGACTATATTTGTGCCCCTGGACCACAAAACCAGTCTTAAGTCGCTGGGGTATATTTGTAGCAATAACCAAAAATACATTGTATGGGTCAAAATTATTGATTTTTCTTTTTTGCCAGAAATCATTAGGATATTAAGTAAATATCATGTTCCATGAAGATATTTTGTAAATTTCCTACTGTAAATATATTAAAACTAAATTTTTGATTAGTAATATGCATTGAACTTCATTTGGACAACTTTAAAGTTAGATTTTTTTGCACCCTCACATTCCAGATTTTCAAATAGTTGTATCTCGGCCAAATATTGTCCTATCCTAACAAACCATACATCAATGGAAAGCTTATTTATTCACTCATGACTGGTTTGTGTTCCAGGGTCACATTTATTGGTCAAGACTGAGGTTGCACATTAAGTTATAGGGGATGGCTGGTTTTGGTGACATTTTATAAAATGGTGAACATGTAATATCTTTTATTTTGCTGACACCAAACATGTGCATTTGATTTACATTAGGGTACTATACATTGGCCCTGGCTTTCATTAAAATAGACATTGTTCACATTGTTTGGAAACTTAATAAGGCCAAATATAATGTAAAGCCTATCTCCTTTATATGAAGGAACAGTGGTGTTAAAAGTCATTCCATGTCGAAAGCATGTGTGATATTTTGGAAACAATCTATGAGTTTGTAATGTATTGTTAATCTGTTAAGCATGTCTAACTCGCAGTTAGACAACAACAGTAGTCACACTGTCTGACATTAGGTGTGTGATCAGTCAACCAATCAGATGTCAGGCATCGTAAAGTTCAAGACTTCCTTTCACAATAAATCTGTCTTGAAAAACAAAATGAAACAGAAAATATATAGCTCTTAGTCCATAAATAGATCATTCACACTGTTTTCAAATTCATGAGGATGAGTAGGGTGCAGCAGTGACGTTTTGAGATGATGTTAATAATGCTGTTATCTGAATTATATTCTACTAACGCCAACAAAGCACTTAACTGCATTATTTAAATGATTGACATTAGGTTTGTTTTAGCCTACACTCAAGGGTTAGCAGTTCTATCACTCTTCTTTGCCTATGAACAGTACTTGACGTAGTGAAATGCGTTGTGTGTAAGTGGTGATTATGCAGAATGGGAACATTTTGGAGTACATACTCTAATCAGTCCAGAAAACCCCAAATCAGAATGTCTGTTTCTGAATGCAGTAGTATTAAAAAATCTTTCCACTCACTCTTTAACCTTTTCTATACTGAGTAAAGAATATTGTGAAATGATGAGTGCTGGACTGACTTCAACATCATTAGCTGGTCTTTGGAGGTAAAAAGCTTAGCTTTTTTTTTTTTTTTTTTTTTACCCAGAAAGTAGAAAATGAATAAAGTGAGTGCTTACTATACAAAATAGCAAGATACATTTCAATACTTTGTTATCAGCAGATATCAAAGTCAATTTTGTTAACAAAAGTAAATGTGTTCACAAAAAAAATAAAAATAAAAATAAAAAAAGAAGGGAGGATCACTCAAATGGTCTTTCTGTGTAGATATATAAGCAAGCATGACATAACCAAGTATTTTAAAGTCAGATGGCCTTTCTAAAACTTTAGTCCTATTAATTAGTTAGAAGGTAGGGTCTTCATCTTTTCAAAATATGTAATCATAGGGTTCCAAATTGTATAACATTTTTGAATGGATCCTTTTTTGACATATTTTATTCTTTCTAGTTTTAAATATAATATCAAATCACAAATCCACATTGAAGTTTTTGGTGGATTTTTTGATTTCCATTCCAACAATATTCTCCTTCTTGCTAATAATGAAGCAAAAGCAAAAACATTTTCCATATTGTTAGTCAGAGGTATTCCATGTGCTCCAAAGATAGCAATTTCAACACAGGGTGTTATATTCAAGTTAAAGGCTTCATTTAATCTGCTTCTGCCTTACACCACTCTGTCTCTGGGAAATTATACCAACAGTTGACTTTTTGAAGATTTGCTGCCCAGTAATATCCCATAAAATTAGGTAAAGCTAAACCTCCTTGAAATCGCTGCCTTTCCAAAAGGTCTTTATTAATTATTGGGTTCTTCCCTTAAAAAGCTTACCTTTTTTTTAAATTATCAGCCTTTCGGCAAATTTTTTTTGTGGATTTTGGAGTCAATACAGTGTGGTTGCTTTTCTTGTCTTAACAGGTCAGAGAAACAAAATACGAATCCTTCAACAAGACTTTCAAGCTTCACAGAGTGGGTGAAACATTAAGGATGCTGAAAAGCGAAAGGAAAATATGAAAGGACCCTAAATGGAGGAGTTTTCCATATTCCTACCCAGATCTGGCCCGGACACACATCCATAAACTGAACAACCATAAAACCTTTTATTATCAGGATAATGTCTTCCCCTTAAATCCTTTATTATTGAAATATGACCGAACTCCTCTCTTTTGTCCCATGATTAGCAGCAAGCATTTCTGATAACCCGAGGTGTGATTTTCTTTCTCACCTAGTTACATAAGCTTTTAAATTTATGCTTTTGTGCAGGTCCGTTGTTAAGCCATGGTGATGTTGAAAGTTAGACGTGAACTTCATTGCCAAATGGTTTGGAAAAACAGTTTTGATCTCTTATTATCCACATTAGCCCTATCCAGTCTTATGTTCTTATCAAAACCATGCCCTTGTGTCAGCAGTAAAACAGCCCCTCTGGGCTAGTAGGGGTACTACTAATCTATTTCCGCAGAGACGTGTAGTCAATGGCACATGAGACTCTAAAAATTAAGATGTAGGAAGCTTTTCTGGCCCCTCGGGGATGAGATTGGAGAGGAAGGAGGCTCAGAACAGGTTTGCGCTTGTCTCTGCTGTTCACACTTTCATCCCTAGTTTATTTGGGCTGTTAATGATCCAGCCACACATGCCAGCATAATAATGATTGTGATCCAACGTTTTTGTGAGTGGTTGTACTAACCATTGTCCTTTCCTCAGCTGACCAGATCATATGTTGCTCTGAGTGGACACAGAAAACTGTAGGGCACATTGCGCTGACAGAAATGTCATTGAATTCACCCACAATTACTTTTACATAGCCTCAATTTTATAGCAATTGCCATGTTTTTAAGTAAATTGTGATTGTTTGCTTCAATGTTCTTACGGTAGTTTTCCATTAGTGATAAAAATTTGTTTTTTTTCTCCACTAGAGACCCACGAATCTCATCAAATTCAAGTGTTGAAGCTGCATATATGACACAGTGGACCATCATTTTTTCAGACGTAAATATAGACTTAGGGTGGGCTGCTAAATCAAGCAGGATGAATGAAAGGACTAAATTAAATGATTACAACAGCAACAACAGACATCAAGGGGGTTGGGCACTTTTTCACCGTAGTAACTGTTCCCCCTGACAACGGTGGAGAGTGACAATTATATTCAGGATCCTTCGATACACCCAGGTTTCCCTTGCTCACTTGCTCTATTTGGCTCCATTGAGCACCTGGGACGGCTGGGAACGCTGCCTGCACGCGGGGAGAACCGGGAGCTGTTGACGCTGCACAGGCAAGAGTGCTATTTTCTGACTCAAACGTTCTATCTGCAATGCTACGAATCATTGATTGTCTTGTGAAAACACTTAATTGGCTTTTAAAGGGATAATTAATCTAAAAATGTAATTTACTCACCTTCATGTTGTTCCAAACCTGTATGACTTTCTTTCTTCTGTGGAACACAAAAGAAGATATTTTGAATAATTTTTCAACTGATTTACCATACATTGAAAGTCAGTGTTGGCCTAGAACAACAATGGACACCATTGACTCGTTGTATGAAGAAAAAAAAACATTTAAATTGCTTGACCCTTGTTTCGGCAAAGTGTAACACTGCTTTTAACCTAGGCTATGAAGCTCTGCTCTAGAGCCTGGTTAGCACAATTTAAAGGGTTATTCGTTTGGTTGACAGTACTAGACTACAAGGTCTTTCTTTATGTATTTATTTGCAGATTACATTTTGTGGTGGGCCTTTCAAGAGCTGGTCTTGGTGGATCTGCTCCTGGTTAGGGGTTCCAGGACAAGTGGCTCACATAGTTCATCCTGTC